ATTTCTATTAATTCTTTCGAAGATATTCATTTTATCTTTCACTTTCACTTTCATTTTTGTTTATTCATTCGAAGATTTTCATTCTGTCATTTCCTTTCATTTTCATTTTGTCTTTCACTTTCATTTTTATTTTGTCTTTTCAAGATATTCATTTTGTCTTTGACTTTCATGTTTATATTTTATTCTTTTGAAGATTTTAATTTTTTCTTTTACTTTCATTTTCATTTTGTCTTTTCAAGATCATTTTGTCTTTCACTTTCACTAGCATTTTTATTTATTTTTTCGAAGATTTTCATTTTCTTTTTTACTTTCATTTTCATTTTGTCTTTCACTTTCATTTTGTCTTTCACTTTCACTTTTATTTTCATTTTTATTTTGTCCTTTCAAGATTTTCATTTTGTCTTTTTCTTTCATTTTGTCTTTTATCAAGATATACGTTTTGTCTTTTTAAAATTTTCATTTTGTCATTCACTTTTACTTTCATTTTTATTTATTCTCTCGAAGATTTTCATTTTGTCTTTCACTTTCGTTTTCATTGTTATTTTGTCTTTTCAAGATTTTCATTTTGTCTTTTTTTTAAAAACATTTTCACTTTGATTTTTACTTTACTGAAAAAAAATTTATTTGATTCAGATAACAGATTATTTGTTTATTGTCAAATAAATATTTTTATACGAGATTTTCATTTTCATTCTCACTTTCACTTTAATTTTGACGAATACTTTGTTTTCACTTTCATTTTCACTTTGGAAGTGAATATGAAAGTGAAGATGAAAATCTTTTAAATTGAAATTTTGTTTATTAATGTCTCAAGAAATTAGTATATAAATAAGATTGGAAAAAATAAAATAAATAAAAATATTTTCTTTATGTTACAGTAGGAAGAGCCTCATCCACTTCTATGCTGGCGAACCTAATCGGTGAGTTTCTAATGCAATTTATTTCCATGACACTCTTATTTCCTTTTGAGAAAAAAGTGTTTATTTTATTTACTTATATTCATTAATTATTTATTTATCTATAAAAGAAATTTTTTTAATAATTTCCTTTTTTTTTGAAAACAGAAAATTTTGGTTCAGAATATTTTTCATAAAAAATTTTTTAAAGAAATAGTTTTTTTTACCAAACAAAATGTTGCGTTAGTGGGGAAATAAATTGAAAAAGGGGATGCTGCGAACGATTAGGTGGAATCACATAGGATAATATAAAGAATCTTTGTGACCGTTTTTATTGCTCGTTAGAGAACACTTAAATTTCCTATTTATGTTAACGCTTTTGCGTCGATTGAAATCGAAACCATATGCGTATGGATATATGTAATTTTGTATGCAGGATATTAGAAAAAAAGTAAGAGGAGGGAAGGCGCGAAAAATAGGGGGGGTGGAGGTGGTGACCGCGTATAGAGAGGAGAAACGAGATGGTATCCTATGGTGACTATTACGAAGCGAGGCAATATCTCTCGCTTTGTAGAGGGCGATTACTTTACTTAACTGACAGTGTCTCGATCCTGGCTTGGGATTACGCGACACTGTGTCGAGAAGTGTACTCGCTGGAAATTCACTCGCTCCCTCGGTGGTCAGGAGGAACTCTCTCGCGCGATTACTTACTCTCCTCTAGCGAATTAACGACGAATAACCCGAGGAAACCGGTTGGCCACGAACGGCACGCAGCTTTAACGACTCCTCTCCTTTTTCTCTCTCTCTCACTCTCTCTCTCGTTCTCTTGTGACTTCAACAAGCATTCCATGGCACGAGTTACTCGCGACGCGAATTAATGGAAACACGCGGGATTGACTGTACGCGCTGATAAAAGAAAATCATCACGAATTCTCTTTATCTATTTGCAATAATGATAATAATTGAATGAATCGAAAATTGAGATGTTGGGGAATTTTTTTCAGGCGCAGGTCCTGATTGGAGTATTTTCATGTTTAAACAGCGTGGCGAAAGTGGAACTTTTCTTAACAGCTCTGAACAGAGTAGCGAAAGTAGTACTTTTCTCAACTCCTCTGAACAGAGTGGCGAAAGGAAATTTTTAGCGTGGCGAAAGTAGTACTTTTCTCATCTCCTCTGAACAGAGTGGCGAAAATAAATTTGTAACGTAACGAAAATACAACTTTTCTTAATTTCTCTGAACAGAGTGGCGAAAGTAAATTTTTAGCGTGGAGAAAGTATAGAACTTTTCTCAAATTTTGTAAAAAAGTTGAGAAAGTATATTTAGCGTGGCGAAAGTATAGGGTTGCCACCCATCAAGGAATTTAGAGAAAAATCAGGAAAAGTAGAATTGGTCAGGCAAAAATCAGGAATTTATATTAAAAGTACTGAAAAAAATTAATTTTTTGAATTCCTATGAAAATTCTGAATTTTTGTGTCTCTTTCGTTTGCCTCATAAACTATGAAATTACCACAAATTCTAATAAAAAACCTTCAATTTTTAAAATTTTTGGCAATAATTTCTTTTTAAATAACCTAATAGGAACTTGAAGAACTGTCATAAAATTATTATAAATTATTTAATAAATAAATAAATTTACTTAAATATTTCAAAATTAATTGAATATTTAAACAGTTGCGTTTAAAATAGCCATAGATCAACTTCAAGATTTTTTAATTTGAAATTTTATATAAATTCAATTTTTACTGAGTTTAATGAGAAATTTTTTTATAAATTCATTTTTTAATGAATTTATTTAGAAATTTTAAAAAAATTAGGTTTTTGAAAATTTTTAATAATTCAAATTCTTCTGAAATTATTTAAATTTTTTAATGTATATTTAATTAATTATTAAAAATAATGGAATTATTAAAGAATTTTGGTTAAAATGCACTAAAAAGAAAATGAATTTTGGAGAAGTTATAAATGAGTGCAGAAATTCAATTATTTTTAAAATTAATAAAATTCTTCACTAAAATTCATAATTATGTTGAATAATTTAAGAAAATTATGGTAAAAATTTCAATTATCTTAAAAAATAATAAAATTCTTCTCCGAAATTTAATTATTTTCAAAAATTTTAATAAAATTCTTGGTATAATTTCGACTATTATCCAAAATTTTAATAAAATTTTTGGTATAATTTCGATTATTTTCAAAATCTTTAAAAAAATTCTTGGTAAATTTTCAATTATTTTCAAAAATTTTAATAAAATTCTTAGTAAAATTTCAATTATTTTCAAAAAATTCTCCTCATTTCAACTGATTTTAAATATCTAATATTTTAATAAAATTTTCCTAATGAGCTCAATTATTCAAAAAAATATTTGATAAAATTCCATGCAAACATTCAATTATTTTCAAAAATAATAAAAATTTCACAGGAATTCAATTATTTACCAATTATTTACCAATTTTTTCACACTAATTCAATTATTTTTATTAAAATAAAATTCTTTTTAGGAATTTCAATTATTTTCATAAATAATTAAATAATTTTTAGGAATTTCAATTATTTTCATACTATAATAAAATTCTTTTTAGGAATTTCAATTCTTTTTATAAATAATAAAATTCTATTTAAGAATTTCAGTTATTTTAAAAAAAATAAAATTCTTTTTTAGAATTTTAATTGATTTTATAGATAATAAAACTTTTTTCGAATATGTATCAATTATTTACATAAATATTAAATTTTTTTTTGAAATTTTAATTATTTTTATAAATAATAAAACTCAATGCAGAATTTTAATTATTTTTAATACAATTTATTTCAATTTCTCGAAAAATGTAATTATTCTTAAAAATTTTATTAAAATTCATCGAAAGAAGTCAATTATTTTAAAGTTTGTTGATAAAATTCTTAATGAGAATTCACTTTTGAGAAACAGTCAATTATTCAATTATTTATTTATTTTTGTATTTAAATAATTGAATTTTCTTGAAAATTTCCAATAAAAATTGATTTTAAAATGAATTTCAGTTAAAATTTAAAATAATATTTGAATTGTAACAGCTTTATAGCATGAATTTTAAGAAATAATTGAATTTTGAAAAGGTTTGAAATTAAATTCTTTGAAATTATGAATTTTTAATACTTTTCACTAATAATTGTGTAGAATTAATTTTTTTTTTTAAAAAGTTTAATTGAAAATGTTTTGAAATTATTTGAAGTTTTCATTTTCTAATATATATTTAATTGAAGTGTTTCCAAATAATTGAAATTTCGTTATATTTCGTAAAATTGAATTTTAAAGAAATATATTTAAAAATTCTGAAAGAACTTTTTTATAAATTATAAACAATAATTTATTTAAAGAAGAATTTTAGTTTAAAATTCCAGAAAATAATTATTTATTTAAAATGATGAAACTAATTTTGAAGAATTTAGAGTAACAATATTTTTTTAATATAAAATAATGATTTTATCATTCAGTCATCTTTAATTATGAAACATGAAGAAAGCGATTACTCCGAGTCGAAGACTCGGAGTGATGGATATATTTATGTTTTATAATAAAGTTTTTGAATTCCAAAAAGATTTAAATTTTAATGTTTTGAAGAATCAAGGTTCCTATGGAAAAATAACAATGACTAAAATTGAAAAAAGAAGTTATTGCTGTTTTCAAATAATTTTACAATTAAAGAAATTCACAAATAAATGTAATAGAACATTTTTTTTAATATCTAATAATTTTTAGAGTGAATGCGAATATTCTTTAGTTTCAGGGAAAAAGTTCAAATTTTTTCTGGAAATCAGGAAAAAGTTAGGCAAAGAAAATCATATTTTTGTCGCAACCCTGACTTTTTAATAATTTCAGTTAATTCAAAATTTAGAAAATTTTACTTTTCTTTTCAGAAAGAAAAGACAGTTAATAATAAATACATAATAAAATAAAAATAATAAAAAATATAATTGAAATAAAATTTTTGTTTATCAAAATTTCAAAAAAAGAGAAAAAGTTTATGTGTATAATATATTTTAGAATTAATCTTGATAGGGGTTCTTCGTTTTCAATAGCGAAAGCCATTGACCTTATCTCTATAATATTAAAAATTTGAATTACCTTTTCTAAATTGATTCTCGTCGCAGGTGGTGGCGCGGATGAAATGACATTGCGCGTGTCTAACATTCTTCAGGCACGATGGCTATAAAGATAAACCAGACTGTCGTAGCTTCTCTAATCCCACGATTGAATCTGAAAACAGAAAAAAAAATCATTTTTTTCCCTCTTTTTGTTTAAACATTTTAACCCATCTCAATTATCTGCTTATCGGGTCTTAAAAAATTTTCTCCAAGTCCTATTTTTCTCCATTGATAAATATTAATATATCTTTTTTTTCCCAACTCCTGATTCATAATTTTTTCAATTTTCTAAATAAATTTTTTTCTACCTTTGAATCACTGAATACTAATTTTATAGTTAGTCGTTATATTCAAAAATATGTGATTAAAATTTTTTATTTAAAAATTGTAATTTAATGTTTAAAAATTTTAATTTAAAATTAAAAACTATTAATTTTAAATTTAAAAATTTTAACCTCAAATTAAAAAATTTTAATTTTTAATTTAATAAAATTACAAGTCGAGCGTGTTTGTATATGAAAACTCGGGATTTATCCGGACGTGTGGGTTTATAAAGTAAGAAAAAAAGTGTGTATTCCCAGGGTTGCGGAATGGACGAAAGAAAGAAAAAAAAAGAGAGAGAGAGAGAGAGAGAAAATAAAAAGAATGGGAATAAAGAGAAGTAAAGAAGGGTGATCTATGCGTTTAATTAACCATAGAGACGCTCCTACTTACTCTTAGCTGCTCTTAGTTCGGTCTCGTCGAGGGGGTGAATGTGAGGCAGAATTGTACGGGTCATACGTGTTGGAAAGAGGAAATGAGAAGACTGAACTATTGCTATCGCGAGCGAAATTAACCGCCGGAAAAACTTATAATGTGCCACATTTAAGGAGAACTTGGAAAGAGAGAAAAAGAGGGGGGAGTTTCATATATACACATCCTTAACCTTTTGAACTTTTTGGATAAATTTAGTCCCTGGATAATTAATTTTCCCCATATACCGAAAAAAATAATTAATTATATAAAAAAAAGGAGAGAGAGAGAGAGAAAGAAAAAAAATACACGTCTGAGTGCTCTTCTAGTTTTAGTAAATAGCGTCTCATGAGAACAATGACTTTTCTTCTTTGTTCTTCTTTTTCTTCATCTTCTTTTATAAGGAATCCTGGCGTCATATAGTCACGTGGTCCACTGGCGCCACATCGTATCTAGATTAATTTTTGCGTAATAGATCCATATTGAGATAATTGTAATAACAGAACAAATCACTGGTTCTCTCATTTAGAGTGACATTCAAAGAAAATTATTTCAATTCTAATTTTTTAAATTATACTGTAGTTAATTATTTTTTCTATTTTTATTTTCTATTTTTTTTTTGTTCAGTTGATTATTGTGACAAAATTAAATAATTACAGAGAGTTAGTATATAAAAGGAGTCAATTGCTTGTAACTGTATTTAGTCTGTTTTGAAGTATTGTTTAACTGTATTATATTTAAAAAGTTCTTTTTTTACTTCATCGTAAAAATTTGTGATATATGTATTTTTTTAATTAAGGTGTAATTATTTTTGCTTTGTCATTATGTACACTTTTTTTCGTAATGAATAGAATTTTCAGTTTAACCTTGACAATATTTAGTATGAGTGAAATCCAATTATTGTTGACAATTGTATACATATGTATAATGACCACGTGTATTATATGCGATAATTATTATACTAATTATTCAAAAATAATAATTTAAAAAGAAATTTAAGTGCAGAAATGAACAATGGTTCGAATAATAATTCGAAAATTCTTCTATTTATATAAGAAAATTAAAAAAAGTTGATTATTTTTACTGAATTCGATTTTTATTGCATTATTGCTCATTTTGCATATTAGCTTTGAAATCCTCAACCCTATTTTAGTAGAAAACGAGTATAATCTCGTTAGGGTTTAGCAAAAAATTCAAATACAAATTTTTCAAAATTTACTTTTTTAAAATTCGATTTTTGAGACAGTTTAAAAAAACGTAAGGTTTTTTATCTTTACCCCCCTCCTTCCTCTCTGTAACGCATTGGTGCATACATTAGCACTACTTTTTTTTGCTGATCGTAACAAATTCATTCAACCCCCTCCCCCTCTCCTCCCTCTGTATTTTTGGAACAGGGCTGCGATTTTATAATTTTACTTTGACTTTCGATTCGATTTTAACTTCGCCATTGCGATTTTGACGTTAATTTTAACTTTTATTTTCACTCTCAGTCTGACTTCGACTTTAAAATTGAAAGTGAAAATGAAAGTCAAAATCGAATCGAAAATCAAAGTCAAATTACAAAATCAGATTTAAAATGAAAGTCAAAATCGAATCGAAAATTAAAGTCAAGCTACAAAATCAGAGTGAAAAAGAAAGTCAATGTCAAAATCAGAATCGAAATCGAAAGTCAAAGTCAAATTACAAAATGACAGCCCAGCGTCTTATATTGTTGTTATTTGCTCATTCTGATATTAAATTTGAAATCCTCATCCCAATTTTAGTAGAAAAGGAGTACCATGTCGTGAAAGTTTACAAAAAAAACCCAAATTCAATTTTTCAAAATCAAAAATTTGCTTTTTTAATTATAATTTTTGAATTTTTAAATTTTCCGATTGGCATTGAGAGTTGAATTGAACGTAGAAACTTGTACTTCTAGTTTAGTTAATTTTCTTTTTTGTAAATTTATTTTTTTGTAAGGTTAAATTTGTTAAAAGAAAATAGAAGTAAATAAATAAAGTAAGAATGAACTTAGTTTAAAAGGGGGAATCGGAAAGATAATTAAAAAAATCCGAAAATACTTTTTTTTTCTAAATTGCTCAATCACTGAATGCAGTCTCATCTTAAAAAGAAAAAGAAACCATAACAAAGTCACGAAAATCGTTCTCCTTTTAGCAAAAGTTGGTCCGCATACATGAGAATGTCGATCTGGGTGTGACCATAGCAGAGTAATTATGATAATTACCGGAATTCGAGGGACGCAATTAGGGTCAGCGAAGCGGTAGAAATGTAGACACACTCACAGACTGTTCTTTTTCTTTTTCTCTTTGTCACTCCCATTTATATATATACATGTGCTTTTCTTTCAAATATGGCGTAATAATTTTTTATTTCTATATATATACAATAGGTTTTGTTTTCTTTTACTTTCTAGAAATTAACGTAGTCCCCTTAATTACTCATCATCGTCTTTCGAATGTCAGATTGCGTGTATACGCATCACAGGTATATCTCTCGCAGGTAAAAAAAAACTAATGCTCACAGATAGTAGAAGTTTATATGTATATACTAAAAACTCGTCTGTGGGGCTACGACAGGACAGGAAGTGTCTCGTAATAAAAGAGTGACTTCCGTCGGTGAAACAATACGTCGGGATTACTGAGCCCTCTTCCATTTGCCGCGCGAGTCCGTTATTACCTATCCGTTGTTAATTTGCGTCAGAAATAATTTAGCGCTTGGTTCCTGTTTGACTTGTGTCGTTTTTTTCTCTGTATTTTGTGATGCCTGTCGCTTCTCTTTGGTTATCGTTTGGTTTTTGATTTCTGTTCTTTCTTGATTTATGAACTTCGTTTTGCGATATTAATTATTTTTACGTCGCTCTTTATAGTCGTAATTATTTCCTCAGATCTAGTGATTGTAAGCGCTAAATGGCGGATTGTGTATGATTCGTGTAAGTTCGTGTCGATTCGTAGCGACTCGAGAAGACACGAAGTCCCACGAACTATGGTTCGTGCGATTTCGGGTCTTCTCGTATCGCTCCGAATAGATATACGATCCTCCCCGATCTATAGTTCGTGGGACTTCGTGTCTTTTCGAAGCGTTACGGATCGACACGAACTTTCCCGAACTTACACGAACTAATACGAATTGCAAACGAAAGTCCCGTTTTGGATTACAAATGGCGGACGTTTTGGAAAAACTGTTTTATTTTGTTTTCAAATATCGGGGCATTTTTAATCTGAATAAACAGGGTATTAAAGAAATTCGGCAAATGTTTCTAATTGGAAGAATCCATAGGATGGGAAATAAGCTTTTAATTGAGAAGACAAATATGAATATTTGACAAAGGCTATTTAGTAAATTAAATAGTGAAGAAATAGTAAAAAAAATAGTAGAGATACAGTAGGAGAATAGAGAAATAGTAGAGGAATAGTATAGAGAATAGAGAAATAGTAGAGGAACAGTACAGAAATAGAAGAATGGAACCTAAGGTCGGTGGAGCATAACGAAGACTACGCGTTCTTTAGTTCGTAGATATGCATATTTTGTCCGAGTGTCGTTGCGAAATGTGCGGAATGTCCGGCTGTCGTGTTCGCGGACGCGTTGCCCTTGTCTTGCGCTTACATATTATAATGGCATTTGCATGGTTGTCCCATGTGTTGTATGAAGTACATGCATGTATATAAGGAGGGTAGACTGCTATCAGTGTAGGGGTGGTATCGTATGAGTTATTAAGATTACGACGCGCATGCTCGCGATTCTTTCATCGATTCATAAGAATATCCTCTTCTTCTCTGCTAGCATCTCTCCTCCCAGTGCCGTATCTTTAAATCTTCACCAAAAAAAAAACAGTAACAGTTTGCTCCCTTTCTGTTAAATTTTACAACATCAGACCTCCGAATTTTCGATAGTTTACATGATCTACACAGAGCCGAACAGCAACTATTAAAGTTTGTCAAGGCTCTGTGTGGATCAATAGTATATAATGGACTTCACGCGTAAAAGGGACCTAAGGGGAAAATTAGACTCAATCTTCCGTACGCAGTGCCTAATTGTCGCGTTAGGTCTGTTATTGCCGATACTTTACGTTCTTCCTTCTAGTTAGTGTTTCCACTTATCGAGGTTCGACTGCATAAAATTTTCCGCCCCTGGAACTAAAAGCAAGCCTTAAGTATATAACCTTAGGAATAAAAAATAAATGTTCTGTAAGCAGACGTATTTTGTCAGTTACAGGCCAATTTAGCGTGAATAAAATTTCTTTTCGTTCCGTACACAAGTCCGGATATCCATGAAGGTTAAAGTACGCGGCGTAATCATCGTTTGTCACTTTCTTATCGCAGTTTTCGAGATTCCATTGGTAAGATCGATGAAGGTAGCGA